TTTTTTTTTTTACAATTCTTCACAGATAAAATTGAGATCGGATCCATCCTGACTATTTAAATCAATCCTAAAAGCAATCATGTATTGCAAAAGATATACTGTCTAGAACCTCTAGTGACACATGAAATAAATGGGTGTCTATTATTTCATTTCAATCACTGAAATTACCTGGTGCATAAAAGAGTGAGAGAAAGAGAAAAAGGGAGAAAACACTAGCAATTATCCTTTACTCTGTACTCCCTAAGACAGGTTTGACTTCTGGACCCTCAGTTAGATGAATCCTCTATGATACATTCATCCTGTCCTTCAGTGTGTCTTTATTCAAAGCCTACCCTGTTCCCAAAGAGGAGTGCAGCACACCTCTCTCATTTTCTGCTCTGATATGCTCTTAGTAAGACCATGAAATAGGAAGGAATATTTAGAGAGACTTATGCAATTGCCATCATTTTGTCCCATGCAGTACATGCAGACTAATGCAGTATATTTTGTTATGCCAAAATGTCTTTTGCCTTAGACGTATTTGGATGATCTTTGCAGAAGACTGCCTTCCAGCATTGTCTGACCCACTCCCAAAATCTGCATTCAGCATTGCGATGTCTTTTGTCTTTTTCTCTGAGATCAAGTATGTTATGGTTAGATGCACTACACATTGTTTTTGACTCAGTAGTAGACAGGAGGTCAAATATAATTAGGATTACATCGCACTGTTGGCGGTGCAGAGCGCGGTCATGCAGTGAAATGCACCTTTGCGTCTTCAACAAACGCAAATATATGAATCAACTGAATTCATATAAGAATAACTGAAGATAAAAAAGCAGCAGAAATAGTCAATGTGTGTAATGTAAATGTAATTGTAAACATAAAACTTAAAATATGTTTACATTTTCACTGAATAATGGTAAATTATATATAAATATCTGGCTTCGATTTCATGCTTGTCAATCTGTCAGTTTATTTTGAAACACAACAACAAATCAATTCACCATGAAATCAGTTATGATTTCTCAGAATACCCTCAACAGCTGTGTGGAAAATGGCTCTTGGATGGACACCAGGTGGCAAAGGCGTAGAAAGGAAATAAAAAGAAGATAGCGAGTGTGTGTCTGCATGCAAAAGCACAGATGAGAGGAGAAATAAAGCAATTTCATTCAAGACTCATTAAGTTAGTGAATTTCTTTTTCATTTCTTTTAAATAGCCCACTAGATTGAGATTTTAAATGTCAGTGATACATAATTGCTATGCAGAAAACTAAATTCTATGAGAAAACTGTCATGTCGAGAAGTTGAATTTGATGTTAGTTTTCTTTAAGAATTATTACACTCTAAAAAATGCTGGGTTTTAACCCAAATGTTGGGTTAGTCCATATTTTACCCAAAGTTGGGTTGACACAACCCAGCATTTATTTAGAGTGTAGATGTAATTTTTTGGAGTATGTAGGGAGTTTAAAGGGGTCATATGATGCGATTTGCATCATATGACCCCTTTAAACTGTCATTTGATTGATCTCTGTTGCAGTGGGACAAGGCTCCAGTAGGTGTCATGAGAGCAGGGCATGAGCATGTGTGTTTGTGTGTGTTTTGGAAGGACATTGAACTTAAATGATAGAGAGAGACCTCCTGTCATTGTGGAGAAACATCTCCTTGCACTGAAATAAATCTTGATGCTATTGCCTAAGATTATCCAAGACTTTTTCAGGAAATGAAAAATGATGTCCCAATTATGTTACCTCATGGAGGCATTGATGTGTGATGGAAGCAGAAAACCATGCCCATAGCTCTCTCATAATGGCATGCCTCCTTCTGTAGGCATTAACGCTCAGATGCTCCAAGCAAAATAGGGGCAAGGGGAAGAAAAGACTGTTGTGGCCTCATTTTCCAGTCTGTGGGTAAGAAGTTTCTATTGTGACATATAATGGATTACATAAAGCAAATAGGCTGATCAAAATGTGACTTTTTCATGCATGCTAAACATTATATAAAATATCTTCAGGAGCAAGATATGTGCTGATATATTTGCTATTCAAACAGGAAGTTGGGACAGGGTCAGGAATATGCACTCTGTTGATGCTGTGAATGCAGCTGCTTATGTAGGCACAAGATAGCAAGTCAGCTTTTGTCAGAATTTTTTTTTTTATAAATAGCCAAGGCACAGCCACCATGATATTTGCTGTTGTTAGTAGATTACAAGTAATGTGAGTTACGTAATCAGATTACTTTTCCAAGTAACTAATAAAGTAACACATTCCACTTAATGTTTGGCAATACTATCAACTTGATTGCACAGACACTATAATCGGAAGACAACTGAACTGAGCTGGACGATGACATCACTGAATCAACAATGAACTGACTTTAACTTGAAATATTGACTGTTTGCTATTGTCCTGTTTTTAGAGCTGCTGTACAGCAGAATTGAATTTTGTTCGCATTATTGACACACTATTTTTCTGTTTAGCACTGTAAAGCTGCTTTGACACAATCTCTATTGTATAAAGCGAGCGCTATATAAATAAAGGTGATGACTTATAAATTTACAACAAAATATTGTAGTTATAAAAATAGTTACTTTTTCAAATAAGTAACGCAAGTTACTTTTTTCCATGTATTCTCTGACTCCTCTTCTGTCCCTGTGCTGAGAGAAATTGGGAGTGAGGTGCAGGGGAGGGGGCACTTGCTTCAACCTTGAGGCTTATTAATTTCACTTTTGGTGTAAAAGGGCCTTTACAGTTACCAAAAACATAACTTTTTTCTTAAAAAACAAATAAGGAAGCCCTTTTTTGGTATGCATTACTTTTAAAAGTAGCTTTCCCCAACAGTCTGAGGATAGAAGAGTCATCAATATTTTTTTTAATCTGATTTCTCATATAATAAAAACTGTACATTGTAAAAAAAAAAAAAAATTGTATGTGCTAGCAATGCTTTTGCAAATAAATTTAATCAAAGCTAACACATGTAAACTAAAAACCACAAACAACTCCTAGTATGATTTAATGTAAATTTAAATAAAAAACTTAAAGGTTAGATAAATATGTCCCTAAAATTGGGTTAATTGCAATTTGAGGCTCAAAAATCATTCAATTACACATGCAGCAATGGCTCTGTGGAGTTGAATGACAAGGTTGAATAGACGTACATTTAATTTAATGATGAACCTTCTGTTTACAATGAACCCCTGGGAGCCGTAATCGATTATCAAATTGTAATTGCCCTTTCTTTTTCATTTCACTATTAAAAAGTCAGCCAACATTCTGTCCTACAACATAAACTCTCTCCCCTTTTCTGCTCTCAATTGCTTTCTCAAACTTTTCCCTCAGTTTTCTGCTACATGCAATCTGGAAATTACAAATGACCTCTTGTTTTGAAAGGGCTGCAATCTATGGACCATTAATGACTTATTGAATTGAGGTAATTGCATTCTACTCAAGCAGTGGCCACCCCTTGTTGCACTTAACATTAAAATTTAATTTAATTTCCTGGCCCAACACTAAACATAAATTGCTAGTCAAGTAACAGACGCATTACCTGAAAAAAAAAACATTGGAATTCATGGGCCACATTGGATGTCAGCCGTGGATACATTGCAATAGCAAAGATGTTCTTTACTCAATATAAAGAGCCTCAAGGCAAAGTCTCAAGAGAGCACTTCATTACTACAGGCTCCTATACATAGACATTATCGTCTACTTTATCCTCACTATCTCAAACAAGCACACAGATGACTGTGAAATAGCAACATGGCTCATTTCATCACCCTTATTCTGTTTTATTAAATGTAAAGTGTGTGATTTCACACTGAGAAAGAAACTGAAATTTAAGTTGTTATTTTCATCATTTTTGTTTAACTAAGCTGGACTAAAGAGAATGCATAACATCCACATTACTACACACTTCACCTTTATTAA